AGAAGGAATGAGTCCTGTCCTGCCTTCTCTGCAGTTTTTGCATCGTGTTCGCCTTCGTTACATTTTATCCAGTCAATTAGTTTCCCCCGAGGTGTGTTCGTGTTATCGATACAGCTCCCTTCCCATATGTCTCTCTGACTGTACTGCTTTGTAACAGATTGGTCGGTACGTTTAAATACGAGCTCCCCGTATCCCGTAACCCATTCAAAAATTATTCTTAATCCCAGCATCTCAAGGTGTGGCGGGAGTTACTTTGACATTCCCTTTCAGAGTGCATATAAAACAATTATCTCACAGAGTGTAGTCAATTCGACTCGAGCTATCTGTTATTTTCCGATTCAGAGTGCGTACCTCTAACACCATTTATCACAGGATGCAATTGGTTTGATACGATATTATCTTAATTCCACTGTCTCTGTTTTAACCTGCTATTCTGGGTTTTAACCTTAGAGGGCGTTTTTTGTTTTCCGCCCGTTCACAATTACCATGCAATGTTCGATCCTGATATTCTGGTTAACACGAAGTGATTCATTCCATCATCCATGCAAAACACTGTCTGTGAGAGATCCCGGACGACGCCGCCCATTATGTTGTATGTGTTGTGATTATGAAATTTTGATGAAAATAATAAAAATTAATAATTTTCCGAAAAATGCGCAAATCGCATTAATTATGATAGTGTGTGTATTAATACGCATAAATTATGATAATGCGTGTAATTATATGCATAAATTATGATAATCACGGAGATAATCGTAGTAATTTATGCGGAGGCTTGCGATTATGTTAATGTGTGCAGTTATGATAATTTGCTTAGTTTCGTTTATCCAGAGTTATCAATCAGGATAACACGATTATCATAGATTCATTTACCGATTATCCTAGTGTGTGTTATAATATTTTAGGTCTCCATTTTCATATCTCATCACAGGATACAGTTGTCAAGAATAAGACAGTTTTGCATGGACTTGGAAGGAACACTCGATATGCTTCTGGATTACAATTTTATTCTAACAAGCACGTGACATTCTATCATGCAGGTCAAACATGCGTCAATAATTCATGGGCAAGATTATGCAATTAACTAATATGAACGACAAAAACTTATGCAGTTGTGACATTATGCAATTATGCAATATGAATAACGAAAACTCTTATGCATTTATGTAACTCGACGGCAGCAACTGCTTTGCACGATCAGTTGATATTGAACGCACCACCTCGAAATGGCAACCCTTTTTGAAACGAAAAGACAGTTTTTCTTTTAAAGTCTTATTCGTGTGCGTGCTGTGTGTGCGTTGTCCTCTCGTAATATTAATTGTGTCGTTAGCTTATGTGGTGTGGGAGGATACGAACAGCTCCTGCTGCTCCCTCGCTCGGCGTGTCGCTCGGCTTTTGCTCTCTCTCTCTCTCTCCACTGCTGGATTGAGCGGCGTTGGCACGATGTTCCTTGAAGAAACTTGCTTGCTTGGCGCTTGATGGTTCCGGGGGCTTGGTGCTGCTCGTGCGCTCTCTCTTTCTACTGCTAGATGACGAGTTGGCACGATGCTGTCCTTGAAGATGCTCGGTCGCTCGTGTCGCTCGTTGTCGCTCGATGGCGCGCGGTGGCGCACGGAGGCGCAAGGTGGGCACGGTCAGCGCTCGTTCAGCGATCTCCGCCTTTCCTGCGGGTTGTTCGCTGGTCGTCACTCTGACGAGGAGCGGTGCTTCGTTCGTGGCAGGGTGGACGTTGGCGTCTTTGTTGGCTTCACTCGCAGCTCTGCGACTCAGAGTAGCGATTCTTCTCAGGTGGTGCAGACCTCGGCTTTTAGCTACGCGTCGCTACTCCGCAAACCTCGTCATTCTGAATGACAGGAGCTTCTTCGTTGGCGGCGACAAGGAGAGATGGAGCCACAGCCCTGGAGATCTGTGATGGGGGCCAGAGCCCCTGTCGATCTGTGGTGGAGCCGAAGATGGGCTCGTAGCCCGGATGATATGTGTGTTGGAGCCGAAGCCCGGACGATATGTGATGGGGGCCAGAGCCCCTGACGAACTGTGATGGAGGCCAAAGCCCCTGTCGATCTCTGTGATGGGGGCCAGAGCCCCTGACGATCTGTGATGGAGGCCAGAGCCCCTGTCGATCTGTGATGGAGGCCAGAGCCCCTGTCGATCTGAGTTGTATGGATTTTCCTTCGGTTTATATCGGAAAATTCCACTCGGCTTCCCGAGTTGTTCAAAAGCTGTGTCATAAAACCTTCCTGTGGGGGTGGACCATCTGCGTCCGTGTGTGTGTCCGTCCGTGTGTTTCGCGTGCGTGTTTGTCCGTGTTGTGGGGAGACAAAGGCGGTTGTTTCCACGGTGGGAGCACCCGGCGCATGCGCTTATTTATTCGAAGACGTGTTAATTTCCTTTGAGCCATTGCCCCCTTTATGGGTGTCATTTCCTAGCTTGGTGCCTGTGTGTGGAGATCCTCTCGGAAAGACAAAGGCGGCCGTGTTGCTCGCTTCCCATGGGTGTTGTGTTTGGTTAATTTTGAGAGCCTTCTCCGCCCTTGATTCCTCTTCTACTTTAATTCCGTACTTATTATTTGACTTCTTGTGATTATTTAATCTGATATCCCGGCTTATCTTTGTTCAGAATATAATTATCTCTTACTCCATGGTGCCTGGTTCTGTGGTTTTTTTTTTTAACAAAACGATGTCCTGCTGACCCCCCCCCCCCCCGCCTGCAATTCCCCCCCCTCCCTTGTTCCTCTTGTGTGAATTTAGGGGAGTTTTTATTACCTTATTGCCCCCCCTTTCATGTCCTCTCTCCTTTGAAATGAGGTATGCGCGCATCTGTGGAAGTGTGGGGGCCTCTGTGGAAGTGTGGGGGCGTGTTCGTTCCCACGTGGCCGCGTCTATTAAAAAAAACGATATTATCTATGTTGGCAGAATAATTCTTTAAAAAAATTAATATTAAAAAAAAATAAAAAGGGGGCATATACACAACAGTACGGTGCTTTTTCTGCAACATTTTGCTGTCTTTTCTTGGATTTTCTGTTTGTACTTAGTCACATATTCACTTTAAGATGTTTTTTTTCATCTTTTTTTTAATTTTTGTTTGTTGCGGTTGCACCCGATTCAAGAGCCGAATGGCTCACAGGGTTATACCTTTCGATTTAAAGCTTTCGTGACTGCAGGGATTCATCTTCTTGGTTCTTTCGGTAAAGTCACGTAGAAGGGAAATAATAGAATAAAAAGAATAAAACATAATGTTTTATTTTTATATAAGAAAAAAATAAAAGTTTTATTTTTATTATTTTATTATTTCCCTTCTACGTGACTTTACCGAAAGAACCAAGAAGAGGGCTATACCTAATCAATGAACTTGAACTTGATTTAAAGTTGCGGATTTTGATGTGACGTCACATTTCTCAACCCCCCCCCCCTCGTCACACATCGTCACAAATGTCTGACCCCCCCATCCCCTAGGTGAGTGACGTCATTTATGGACGGCCCCATATATTATAGTATCTATTTTAATGATCTGTTTCGTGAGGTTAACTTTCATTTACTACACTTTGCACTCCTATAATTGTTGCTTGTTGTTACTTTCTGAGCCGCCCCCACCGGAACGCCTGTTGAAAAGAGCTTCACAGATCTTCGGATTTCTCCAGTCTCAATGAAAGATTCTGATTCCTCGGCCATTCTCGATTATCCGTTCGTTAAGCATCGATAATAAAAGATCAATGAATTCGAATCGATTGCCGGGGATGATCGGATTTCTCCAGTCTCAATGAAAGATTCTGATTCCTCGGGCCTCGGCCATTCTCGATTATCCGTTCGTTAAGAATCGATTATAAAAGATCAATGAATTCGAATCGATTGCCGGGATTATTCAGAGGCGGGCGAGGGAGTCTCTGATTGGGCACCTCGTGAAACCACGTGGGTTGACGAAAGGGAGGGGGGTAGAAGGGGTGTGTGGGGGGAGGAGTTGAAGGGGGCGTGGCAGGGGGGGTAAGGGGGGTGGGGTAGGGGGGGGCGTTGTAGGGGGGCGGGGTAGGGGGCGGGGCAGGGGGGTAAGGGGGGTGGGGGGCGTTGTAGGGGGTGGGGTAGTAAGGTGTAGAGGGGGGCGGGGCAGGGGGGTGTAGGGGGGGTGGGGTAGGGGGGGGTAAGGGGGGTGGGGCAGGGGGGTGGGGTAGGGGGGGTAAGGGGGGCGGGGCAGGGGGGGGGCGTTGTAGGGGGGTGGGGTAAGGGGGGGCGGGGTAGGGGGCGGGGCAGGGGGGTAAGGGGGGCGGGGCAGGGGGGGGTAAGGGGGGCGGGGCAGGGGGGGGTAAGGGGGGGGGGTAAGGTGGGCGGGGTAGGGGGGGGTAAGGGGGGCGGGGTAGGGGGGGTAAGGGGGGCGGGGTAGGGGGGGGCGTTGTAGGGGGTGGGGTAGTGAGGTGTAGAGGGGGGCGGGGCAGAGGGGTAAGGGGGGGCGGGTTGAGGGTGGTGTTGTAGGGGGGCGGGGTAAGGGGTGGGGTAGAGGGGGGCGGGTTGAGGGTGGCGTTGTAGGGGGGCGGGGTAGAGGGGGGTAAGGGGGGCGGGGCAGGGGGGTAGAGGGGGGCGAGGTAGGGGGGAGCAGGGGGGCGGGGTAGGGGGGTAAGGGGGGTGGGGTGGGGCAGGGGGGCGGGGCAGGGGGGGTGGGGTAGGGGGGCGGGGCAGGGGGGGTAAGGGGGGCGGGGCAGGGGGGGTATGGGGGGCGGGGTAGGGGGGGGTAAGGGGGGTGGGGCAGGGGGGTAAGGGGGGTGGGGCAGGGGGGGTATGGGGGGCGGGGTAGGGGGGGGTAAGGGGGGTGGGGCAGGGGAGGGTAAAGGGGGCGGGGTAGGGGGGGTAAGGGGGGCGGGGCAGGGGGGGTAAGGGGGGCGGGACGAGGAGCGGGGTCGGGGGGAGGGGGAAGTGGCGGAGGGAGGGGCGGTTTATGGCGGCCATCTTGCTCAGGGCTGAGTTCCCATTGGACAGTAAATGAGCAGCTGATGACGTCACTGCCCCCCCCCCCTACCTAAGATGGCCGATGAAGGGGGCCAGGAAACCCACGGGCTATTGTTGATGGGGACGGTCGGCCCCGATTATTTTACGCGGGTTAAAGTGTTTTGTTAAATGTGAAACGGAATAAAAAATGTTGTTTTAAAATAGATATAAAATTAGGTTTTCTACAGACGCCAAGCGAAGGTATATACGACGTATCAAGGAAAACCATTCGGAGGTTTGTCCACGTCCGATCGGATTCAACATAAACTCGGTAAGAAAGCCCCGATTTTAAACGTTTTTTAACAATCAAATTAACACTAACGCTCGCTAGCCATTGTTTCCTACGTATACATCATCATTATTTCAGACGATGTGTTAATTTTGGTGTGTTGCATTACAAGGGAGGGGTGGGCTGTGAGATTAGCGTCGGCCTTCATTTAGCAGTGGATAGAACAAAGCTGAGGCTTTTACACCATTGGAACCTCATTTGGCAGTAAAAAAGATAATTGTTTTTTTACCTTTCAATCTGACTACAAAACTGACACCTTTTTACAAGGAGTCATGTTTGCATAGACCACAATACCTGCAGTCATTTCTTGCATCCTCTGTCTTGTCATGCCGATATGCTCAAGTAGTGTCACATTATAGTGTAGTGTACAACGTAGTGTATAGTAGTGTATGGTGTAGTGTACAACGTAGTGTATAGTAGTGTATAGTAGTGGATGGTGTAGTGTATAGTGTAGTGTATAGTAGTGGATGGTGTAGTGTATAGTGTAGTGTATAGTAGTGGATGGTGTAGTGTATAGTGTAGTGTATAGTAGTGTACAACGTAGTGTATAGTAGTGGATGGTATAGGGATATCATCACGATCCATGGGCAGATAGCCAACGGTGGTTTCCATTTCACATTTAGTAATTTCTTGCATCCACTTTCCTCTGTCTTGTAGTGCCAGCATGCTCAAGTAGTGCCACATCATAGTGTATCGTATAGTATATAGCCAAGTTATAGTGGTGTAGTGTATAACGTAGTGTATATTGTAGTGTATAGTGTAGTACATCATCACCACTATCCATGGGGAGATATCTCCCGTGGTGTCAACTGCAGGTTTCGTTTATTGTTCCCACTTTCCTCTGGCTCGTAGTGCCAATATTGCTCAAGTAGTGGCCACATTTTTCTGGCACCGAACCCTCCTTGTGATCTCGTCGTTGTCAACCCATTCTCTGTCAGCAGGTCTTCCTCTATACGCTTTGGTTCTTTCGGTAAAGTCACGTAGGTAGAAAATAAAATAACTACCTACGTGACTTTACCGAAAGAACCAAAGAGTATGGATTCCTGCAGTCACGAAACATTCAAATCAAGGTCTTCCTCTCTTTCCCGGTTCCTTCAATTGTTTGCAAACCACACACTTTACATTTTCCTGTTGTCCATCCTAACTCAATGTGTCTAAACAGTGCCGGGTACCTTGTCATCATTGCCTGCATCATCATCATCATCTACAGGTCGTCTTCTTCGATGGTTCAACCATTATCATCTACGTTGGGGCATTCTTTGGGTCCAGCTTAGATGCAGCAGCAGTATCCTTCTGTAGTGTTGTAAAGGACGGACTTCTAAACTTCTTTATGGCACACACTGTTTATTGTCTTAGTACACAGTCCCTATCACACAAAGGGGTATATGGTCCCCTCACCCGTTACCCTGAGGAGACACAGCCTCCGGACCTTGCAGGCTGTCTAATCTCCCTGCTCTCCCAGTGTCCTCTGGCTGGACCTAGGAGATCTCTCCCCGACCACTGGTGACTCTGAGCCCTTGCCCTGACAAGGGCTGGAGGGCTTGGTCCAGGGTCCTAGATGTCTTCGGCCGACTTGGGTCTTCGTGTAGCAGAACTGGCCAAGAGCTCTCAGCGCTCCGGCTTTTATACCTGTTCGTGGCCGGGTTGTCCAATCCCCGGCCACCTTGTGGGACCCTCCGATTGGTCCTTCCCAATCTGGCGTTTGGATCCTACCTCACCCCATTTGACCCTGACCGTTTGATTGAGCGGGAAAACCTTGTTTACGATCCGCTCTCTCAGTTTACGAACAGCGAGTAGTTAACAGCACTACACTTCTGTAGCAGTGCCAATGTTACAGAAGGACACTGCTGCTTTGAGTGGCCATGTCTCATCTCTGTCGGTCTTTTTTTATTACACGCTTTCTTCTAACTCACTCTGTCTGTTGTTGTCGTTGTCGTATCCTCAAATGTTGTAACTCACTTTTAACCCACTTCCCAATGTGGTATCGACTGCAAACTTGGTATACGTATGTCATACTGATGACAAAACTATATTTTATAAAAAAAACTATCTTTTTACACGCTTTTTTTAACACAATATGTCTGTTGTTGTCGTTGTATTGTCAAATCTTGTATGTATTTGCTAAATGTATTTGTCTACATCATGGGACCTCCTTTGCCAGTACCAAAATGTACTAATAGGGTTTTTCCCCTTTTTCTGGCAACAAAACTGACACCTTTTTCAAGGAATCATGCTTACATTAACCAGCTGTTTTAGACTAATTTCAGGGTGCTGATTCCAAATCTGATCTCAGATTTGCTCTATCACATCTCATTTTATGCTATCGGCATACCCCATTTTCATTGATTTTACCCGAAATTACCTCTGTCACTTATGATTGCAAGTTGTTGCGAGTCAGTGACTGCTTTAGTGTTAAAATATGGTGCTGTATTTTTAGGATAGTGTGTTTATAATATAATTTTATGTAGATATCCACATCTATTTAATATTTTTCTTCTGCAGTATTTATTGAAAATGCAATATTTGATATCTCAAAAACCTGATGTGATAGACAAAAACTGATGCCAGATTTGGAATCGGCACCCCAAAATTACCTTAAAACCGTTGGAATACCTTATGCCAGGAAAAGTGTGTTGACCAGTGTTATTCTAGATGAATTCTGTAAAAGAAAACTCTATATTTCAAGAGCTGCAATGCGTGTCCTTACTAGATAACGTCACGAAGCAATCCTAAAAGAGCCGCATGCAGCTCCAGAGCTGCCGGTTGCCAACTCCTTGTTCTAGAGACACTGTCTGTTCCACTTGTGTATGACAGACATAGCTTCATTGCACACAAAGTGCTTACGACAAATGAGCCACACTGCCTTGCTGATTTCGTCAAGGAGCCTGAACCATCGCATGAACTCCGGTCATCCTCGCAGCGTCGGCCTTTGGCTGGCTATCGAACAAAGGCGGCGGGGACACTGCATCTCGCGCTTTTACAGATATGCATCTGCCGCCGTCTGGAACACTCGTCCTTCTGATATTAGGAAGCCAGATTCAGAATCTTTATTTGTACTGGAGGAATCCGATGAGTTGTAAAGCTCTTTTTCACAGATGTCCGGTAGGGTGAGTCAGAAAGCCACTGGAGCAATGCACTTTAAAATCTAAATTGAAAACTAATTTCTTCAGACTCTTAGTTCTTTCAGTAAAGTCACGTAGGTAAAAATGAAATAAAAATTAATAAAAATAAAACAATAAAAATCACGACGTTTCTTCAGTTTCGTTTATTGTCCTTCCCCCACACCGCCGGTTGGCAACGTACGGTGCGAACAAAGTTCAACATACATCCTTGCCTCCCCATTTCCCTGTACCCCCTGCCCCTCCTATCTCCCTGTAACCCTTGCCACCCCCCCCACGCCACCCCCGTCTGTCCGTGCGTTGTCGCGTAGCGCGGCTGTGCTTGGCACGAGGGGCGATGGCGGAGGAGAAGAAGTCGCGCGTGAGCGGCACGCTGCTGCCCGTCGAGTCGGTGAAGCTCATCGGCGAGTCCGTGGGACTCGCGCAGATGTCGGAGGACGCGTGTCAGCTGCTCGCAGAGGAGGTTGGCTTCCGACTCAAGGAGCTGTCGCAGGTGAGGGGGCCAGACGTTCGCTCTTTAATCCCCTTTAATCCCCTTTCCGAGATGTCTGTCAGCAACTGGCAGGGTAGGTGTCCCGTTCACCGCCAAATCTCGGAACGTGCAAGCGGCTCGGTTAATTTTAGTTGGCGAGGCGTAGCGCCGTTGTTTTTAAAGACGTTGTTACTCGCCGCAGAGAACTGTTGCGACACGACCGCCACTACTCTATGATAGCTGGCACCGCACTTTGCCACACGCCCTCTCGTACGGCCTTCTGGGAGTCTCGGTACGTCTTCTAACCTGAAGATGTGCCGATGGAGTTATTTTATCATTAGACCCTCCTTTGCGAGTACTAAAATATAATAATAGGGTTTTTTCACTTTTTTTTTCACGCCTTTTGGCGTCCTCTGGTCTAGCACCAATTGAGACGAGGCTCAAAAGAAAGCCGTCTCTGGTGTGGACCAATCAGTTTTAAGGACAATGCGTATATTATCAGAGTGTGTTATTTTGTTTGCATTTTGACCACAAGCATTGTGGTTAATCCACACACGATTCCTTGTGTTATGGTGCAAACTACGACGGGGAGGCAGGTGAGTTGTATGGGGCTCACGCCAAGTTTATTTGGGGCTTACGCCTAACAAGGGACGCCCTAGACTATACTCCTCAGGGGATACGGGTCCTGGGGATGCTACCACCCCGGCTATCTGACAGAGGTCACAACCGGGTAACCGATAAATGTACCCTACCCGATACCCGGCTACTCGTACCCAGCTGGGTACGGGTAGCCGTTTGCGACCCTGGTGCGGGTACGGGTACGGGTAGGCCGTGAATCACTGGTGAGTAACCGTTTGTCACTCATTTCGGGTAGGGTATGGGTACGGGTAGGGAACGGCTACCCGTACCTGGCCGGGTACGGGTACCCATTTGCGACCCTGGTGCGGCCAGGTACGGGTACGGGTAGGCCGTGAGTCACTGGTGAGTAACCGTTTGTCACTCATTTCGGGTAGGGTTGGGGTACGGGTAGGGAATGGCTACCCGTACCTGGCCGGGTACGGGTACCCATTTGCGACCCTGGTGCGGCCGGGTACGGGTAAGGAATCAAAACCCGTTTGCGACCTCTGCTTTCTGGGCTCTCCTCCCTGCACCGGCCGAGGGCGAACCGCACTTCGGCCGGTCGGGTGAGTAGCCACCCTTAGCCTCGTGTCAGAGCTACGCTACCCCGGGTCCCAACCTGCAACCTCTCCCGTTCCCGGCTCCCACCACGACCCCTCTTACGTCACGTGCTTCCCCCTAAATACCCCCCTGGGACATGACGTTACCGTCCCCCAGGGTCTCCCCGTGACGTCACTCACTGCTCCTCTACACTTGTAAAAAGGTTTCAGTTTTGTTGCCAGAAAAAAAGGGGAAAAACCCCTATTATTATTATTGGAGTTATTTTATTTTGGTGTTCTCACGATTCCGGAACGGAATGACGTACACGTACATCATCAGAATGGAAAAGGGTTAATTAGTTTAGAATAAAACTAAAACTAAATTTTTTTATTTTTTACCAGGTAAGTAGCTCTTTTTCAGAAGCAACCTGGCCACAAATGATCGTACAATTTAGTGGCTTATCATCGGGCATGCGACTAACACGGTTAGGCTACGTGCAAAATAATTTCAACATACATCCGTGTGGAAACTTATAGGAGCCGAATACTTTAAACGCACGTTGATTCTAAATGTGGAGGGAAAATACCGGAGGACACGGAGAAAAACCCACGCGACCATGCGGAGAGAGACATCCGAACTCCAGATATACAGCAGCAGGCGTCAGGGTCAGGACTGAACCCACGACCTCCTGCATACCAGGCGAGGTAGTTAACATCTCGCGGCTGCAGCAGGAGTGTTGATGGTTATGTTGTACCATTTTAACCTCCTTTGCCAGTAGCTTACCCCGAGCTCTCATACTCTGATGGTGCATTGTCTTTGAGTTGTACGCCTTTTGGCGCTATCTGGTCCAACACCATGTGAGACTAGGCTCGAAGAAAAGCTGTCTCGGGTGTGGAACAATCAATTTCAAGGACAGTGCATACATTATCAGAGTTGTGTTTTTTGTTTGCATCCCGACCGCAGGTATTGTGGTCAATGCAAACATGACTCCTTGTAAAAAAGGTGTCGGTTTTGTTGCCAGATAAAAGGGTGAAAAAACAATTATCGGTTATGCTGTAATTGATGGTGATGAGAATGTTGACGCTGCTTTTGGTGTTGATCATGCTGATACCGATTACTCCCTTGCAGTATTTGCTATTGTCGATGTTGGTGATGTGCAGGAAGCGGCCAAATTCATGCGCCATGGCAAGCGGAAAAAACTGAGCACATCCGACCTCGACCACGCCCTGAAGATACGCAACATTGAGGTAGGTGTGCGCGTGTGTCTCTGTGTAGCGGTTGACGCGTTGTGCTACGAACATGGCGATCTGACTTCGACTCCAGCTCACGGCCAATATCGGTGACGATTATCTGAACCGCTCTTGGGCCTCCCCTAGGTCGACTCGGCCTCAAATGACTACCTGGTGCAGAGCGTAAAGACATCACCACTGAGGAGACAAAGGCGGCTGGGTGTGGTGCTGGCCACCCGCCCCCTCGTGTGCTGTGCCGGCCTTCATAGGTGCTCCCTAACAGCACTTGCCCCAACAGTTTGTTGAGGCTACACGGGGGATCTTTGTTTTTGTGCCTGCGTGAGCGGTAGTGCAGCGGTTAGCGCGCTGCGCGATAAATCCGGTGACCCGAGTTCGTTTCCTGCTCACGGCCAACACCAGTGACGAACCGGTCCTAGGCCTCCCCTAGGACAACTCCGCCTCAAATCAGTACCTGGTGTGATGTGTAAACATCCCCACTAGGGAGACAAAGGTGGCAGCTGGACGTGGTGCTGGCCACTCACCCCCTCGTGTGCCTTGCTGGCCTTCATAGTTGCTACTCGCTAACAGCACTTGCCCCGAGAGGTTGGTGATGCTATATGGGTGATTTTTGTCTTGTGTCTGTGTGCACCTGCTTGTGTGTCGGTGCTTATGGATGTTAGTTTACGTGAGCCAGCCTTTCCGTGTGTTTATGCACGTGTGAGGTGGTGCATCTGCAAGTCATCTCGGTCAACCCGTGGCATCTGGGTCTGTCCATGACCTCCTGCCAGTGGGCGTTCGACACTTCACGTGGTCTTAAAGTGCACATAGCCTGGCACAAGCGTCGTTGTGACGTCACTGCAACTTAATGGCGCATGGCGGTTGTTGTATAAGCCAGCACTACGAACCTGGCGACCTGGTTTCGATTCCCGCTCATGGACAACACCAATGACGATTATATCTGAACTGGTATATTTTAGTAACTGGTGAAAAAATATAGATTGGTGTTTGTGTGCTCACCTGCCTGCGCACATGCGTGTGTTTGCGTGTGCTAGCATGTGCTTGCGTGTGTGTGTGTGTGTGTTCATGCTGCCCTTCATAGGTGCTACTCGCTAACGATTCTAGCCCCAACAGTTTGTTACGGCTATACGGGGGATCTTTGTGTTAATCGTCGTGTGTGTGTGTGTGTGTGCGTGTTCGCGTGTGTGTGCGTGTGTGTGTGTGTATGTGTGTGTGCGTGTGTGTGTGTATGTATGTGTGTTGTGTGTGTGTGTATGTGCGTGTGTGTGTGTATGTGTGTGTGTGTTCGCGTGTTCAGCCCCTGTACGGGTTCCAGTCGGCCGAGTTCATCCCGTTCCGCTACGCGAGCGGAGGAGGGCGGGAGCTGTTCTTCTACGAGGAGCAGGAAGTGAACCTGAGCGACATGATCAACACGCCGCTCCCGCGCGTGCCACTCGACATCAGCCTCAAGGGTGGGCAGGGGAGCCCCCCCCACACGCACGCACCCCCCCCCCCCCCCGCCCCAAAACAAAAGACAAAGGTCCCCCGTGTAGCCTGAACAGACTGTTGGGGCAAGTGCTGTTAGCGAGTAGCACCTATGAAGGCCGGCACGGCACACGAGGGGGTGGGTGGCCAACACCACGCCCGGCCACCTTTGTCTCCCCGGTGGCGATGTTTACACCGCACCAGGTACTCATTTGAGGCTGAATCGACCTAGCGGAGGCCCAGGACGTCACTTGGTGTCAGTGATAATCGTCACGGGAGAGAGGAGGACGTGGATTAGAGGAAGTTCGCGGGTTAATGGCATCGTTTAAAGCGTTTAAGGGATGTGAGTGGGCTTTGGTAGGTAGACATCGGGGCCACTAGCGGCGATGCCAGGCGGCTGGGACGAACGACTCGGCGGCAGCTGAGGTTGATGGAACTCGTCGGGATAAGACGCCCCACCCAGGAGACGGAGCGATGAAATCGGCCCGTGTGCGGGGTGCTCAGGGGGATATTCACGTAATGGCCACTGGAGTTGGTGGCTGTGAGCGGGAATCTAACTCGGGTCGCCTGGTTCGTACCGCTCCCCTCCAGAAGATAAAGGCCCCCATATAGCCTTTAACTGACTTGGGGCAAGTGCTGTTAGCGAGCACCTATAAAGGCCGGCACGGCACACGAGGGGGTGGGTGGCCAACACCACCCCCGACCGCCTTTGTCTACCCCAGTGGCTATGTTAGCACATTGCACCAGGTACTCATTTGAGGCTGAGTCGACCTAGAGGAGGCCCAGGACCGATTCAGATAATTGCCACTGGTGTTTACCCTAAGCTCCCGCATACACACACGCGCCGCACGCGCACTGCACAAGTGTTTAGTCGTGAAGGTCATCGTCACGTTCATAACGAGTGGTGGAAGCGGTGTTACGGCTCTCTGTACGCGCTCTACGAAGGATGTCACCGCGACTGTCACCGCTGTGAAGTGTTTATCACTCGTGGCGAGCGCAATGCGTCATCGACATCGCGATCGGCAGTCGAGTGCATCATATAGACACTGGATCTATGCATGTGGAACTTTAGCACCTGATGTAGCCAACCGTGTGCATTGGAGGTACGGGGCAAGGACAAAAACGTAAACACAAAAAAAAATACTTTACATACTCTAAATAAGTAATATTTTGAAAAACTTTTTTTTGAACACGCTTTAATGAAATGTACCGTACTAGTAATGGATGAAATCTACGACTCCAGGAAGTGGCCCCAAAGCTTGCCACAACGTAAGGGAGCATGGTGATTTACAGCCAATGTTAGTTGAGCGTGGACAATTAGACCCAATGCGAAACATAACATATAAAAAAGATTGTTTACAAAAAAATATATTTTTTATGATAGAATATAGTATTGTCATCAGTATGACATAAGTATACCAAGTTTGCAGTCGATACCGCATTGGGAAGTGGGTTAAAATTTAGTTACAACATTTGAGGATACGACAACAACAGACTGAGTGAGTTAATAGAAAGCGTGTAAAAAGATCACCATCATGTTCATTGTCAGAGTCCTATTCATGACCAAGTACTCACAAACTAACTTTTTATTTTACTTGATAAGCCCCACCTAGCTCTAGAGCTCGATAGCTCAACGAAATGGCTTATCGCATGGAAATGAGATGTTAACTACCTCGCCTGGTAGGCAGGAGGTCACGTGTTCAATCCCGACCCTGACGCCTGCTGCTGTATATTTTGAGTTTGCACGTTCTCCCCGCGTTCACGTGGTTTCTTCTCCAGTTCTTCCACATTTAGAATCAACATCTATTTGGCTATTTGGCTACGATACATTGCCACCTGATAAGTCACTTCGTTGAGATATTATTTGTGACCAGGTCGGTTCTGTATATCAAAGCGAATTTCCCCATAAGAAATCATGGAAACTCAGATGATTCGTTCCACGACCCCAAAAATATTCATATAAAAATTATTAATACAAAATTCTGTACCTATTTTTGTTTATATTTAATATAAAGTAATCAAATGTATTGATTAAATTTAATCGTGGCTGGTGTGAGGGAGACGAGAGAGAGGAGAGGAGGAGGGTTATTGTGTAGGACGTAGGTAAAAAAATGTAATTAATAAAAGTAAAATAAAAATAAAATAAAAATCACGACGTTTCGGAGGCAATACAAGCTTCCGTCTTCAGGTGGAACCGTCACAGCACGATTGCTGTATCAAGTAAGAGATATTCCAAGAAAACAGTCCTTGTATATATAAACTGGTTGAGGGTGGGAGGAGCCAAGGTAGGCCCTGAATATTATTAAAAATAAAATAAAAAATAAAATAATACCCAGGGGCCTACCTTGGCTCCTCCCACTCTCAACCAGTATATATACAAGGACTGTTTTCTTGGAATTTCTCTTTACTTGATGCAGCAATCGTGCTGTGACGGTTCCACCTGAAGACGGAAGCTTGTGTTGCCTCCGAAACGTCGTGATTTTTATTTTACTTTTATAGATTTTAATTTTTTACCTACGTGACTTTACCGAAAAAAACCTAAGAATATGAATCCTTGCAGTCACGAAAGCTTCAAATCTGGACTTTCACGGTCACTAACGGAATCACTGCCATCCGTTGGCTCACGGGAATCTTTTTCTTTTCGTGCGACTTTAACAAGAAACCTATCCACTGACACTTGCTTTTGCCTCCTTTTGAGGTGGCAAGAAGCATTGTTGCAGTACAGTTCCTAAAGAACAGCCACTACACTTGGACACAAAATAAAACAATGCTTTACGCACACACACGTGGTCACAACGCTTTAGTAAACGGTAAACGCTCGCACGGATGTTGACTATACGAGTGAGGCACGCCGACTGAGACCGAGCATGGGAGACGATTACCCACAATCCCGCAGCGAGAGAAAGAGAGAAGAACCATTGGCTCAGTTGTGATCACGTGACGCTCGGCAGACAAAGCGTATACTGTACGTACTGCTCGTATTGCAAGACCTCGCTCGTTTATCAAATTATTATTTATTTTAAAAATGTGCTCGTCTTGCAAAACACTCGCAGAACAAGTTACTCGCAATCCAAGGTTTCACTGTAGTTTCAACTTGACTCTGATGGTGTGTTGTGATGTGGTGTGTTGTGATGTGTTGTGGTGTGTTGTGGTGTGTTGTGGTGTGTTGTGGTGTGTTGTGATGTGTTGTGGTGTGTTGTGGTGTGTTGTGGTGTGTTGTGATGTGTTGTGATGTGGTGTGTTGTGGTGTGTTGTGGTGTGTTGTGGTGTGTTGTGTTGTGATGTGTGTGATGTGTTGTGGTGTGTTGTGGTGTGTTGTGGTGTGTTGTGTTGTGGTGTGTTGTGATGTGTTGTGATGTGTTGCAGCTCACTGGCTGAGCATTGAGGGTGTTCAGCCGTCCATTCCGGAGAACCCGCCTCCCAGTGAGTATTTACACCACAAAAAAAACACACACATAGACAAAGATCCTCGTATAGCCTTTAACTGACTTGGGGCAAGTGCTGTTAGCGAGCACCTATAAAAGCCGGCATGCCACACGAGGGGGTGGGTGGCCAGTATCATGCCGGATCACCTTTGTATCCCGAGTGGCGATGTTATTAAACACACCGTGCCAGACATTTAAGGTTGAATCGACTTCGGGGGAGACCCGGGATCGGTTCAAATTATCGTCACTGTTTTTGGTTGCGAGTGGGACTCTGACTCTGGTCGCTGGGTTCGTAGTGCAGTGCGCTGTCCGCTACACGAGCACTCCCCACGTGTATCGAGGCCATGACGTGGTACTCTTTGGGTTTTTGGGTAAAGTCACGAAGGTGAAAAATTCAAATAAATTAAATCACGACGTTTCGGGCGCAACACAAGCGCACTACTTCAGGTGGGGACAACGTAGCGAAAGCATTAAAACACTTTTCAAGAAAGAAACGAATGTAGACATTTTATTCTTGGTTCTTTCGGTAAAGTCACGTAGAAGGGAAATAATAAAATAATTAAAATAAACAATAATGATCCATTAGGACGCTGTCTTTCCGACAGCTCTGTTCTTCACCTGATGATGATTGCTTGCGTTGTGGCCGAAACGTCGTGAGAATTTTATTATGTTGAATTATTATTTTATTATTTCCCTTCTACGTGACTTTACCGAAAGAACCAAGACTATGAATCCCTGCAGTCACGAAAACTTTAAATCGGAATGTGACATTTTAACGATGACAGAATAAATAATAATAAGATACCCTTTTTACAAAGACAGTTGTTGAGTATTCTCTAAGTTCAATGCAGAGAAGCAGTGGGGCCAATTAGGGTACAGTGTACAGCAGTACATTACTGTACGTACCGTACTACTGCCATGCTGAAGAGATAATGGTGCAAGACCCTTATCAAGAGACCCGTCTCCCAGGAAGTTTCTACCAACATGGCATGTCCAGTGTGCCCCAGGAGTGTTTCGGGCTCAGATTGACCTTTTCAGCCACCTGCGTTTTCACCGAACCCCAAACTCCTCGTCCCAATGACGTGTGCCGTGGTCATCGTCAACCTTTGAATGTGCAATTGAAAAATGTTGATACTCCTACTGATGCTCCTGCTGTTGTGGAGTGACTCATGCAGCCAGCTATGGCTGCAGGGTTTTGGTGGTACATGTTGTTTATGTCGTTTATTGTGAAATTTCGGTCACAGTTCCTATGATCACTGTTACATTGCTTTTATGGATTTATTTTGGTGATTTCGAAAGTTTTTTTGGTTTGGCCATGTTTTGTTTGTTGTAGTACGGAGTTAGAATGATGGCTTTAATCTAAGTTGTCTTGTGGTTGTTGTTGTTGTTTGACTTGCATCCCACTGGGATTTTTGCACACAGCGTTGGTGCACGGTGCTTTTTTTCTGGAAGACTTTTCAGTTTTTTCCTGGATTTTTCTGTTTGGCACCTAGTCACATCGTCACTTTAAGATGTTTTCTTTGTTGCGGTTGCACCCGATTCAAGAGCCCGAATGGCTCACAGGGCTATACCAAATAAATGAAACTGAAAAGCTGAAACTTTGATGGACGAACGGGCTGTATGTACAGACTGCCCCTGGCACCACCACCACCACCACCACTCGGCAGCGTCCCGAATCTCCCGTAAAAAACAACGGACCTACGATAAGCGCACGGGGAAGATGCCGGATGGCTGCCGGAATGTTTCCGGATACGTTGAAGGAAGATTCGTATTGCAGCCTATGACAGACGCCGGTTCATAGGGACATTCCGGATGGTAAAATGCCGGATCGCAGAGCTATGTTTGTGTTATTGAAGCAGCTTCGTGTGCCATTCGGCCTGTGTTCCCACAGTCAAGGTGTTTACTTGAGTAATTGTTAGTGGACACAGTCCGGGGGTCACTCATTCTGACCATTGTCATCACTGCAGCCTATGGGATTGAATTTGGAGGCTCAATGTGGCTTCAGGCTGGGGCGGTCCTGCACAAATACCATATTTCGATTTAAAGCTTTCGTGACTGCAGGGATTCATCTTCTTGGTTCTTTCGGTAACGTCACGTAGAAGGGAAGTAATAAAATAATAAAAATAAAACATAATAAAATAATATAATAAAATAATGTTTTAGTTTTATTATTTTATTACTTCCCTTCTACGTGACATTACCGAAAGAACCAAGAAGATAAATCCCATATTCCCGACTAACTTTGCATCCCTCATCACGCCCACCCTACCCCACCCCCCTCCCACCACCCCCAGCGCCAAAGGAGCAGCAGAAGAAGGAGGCGACGGAGCCCATGAGGATCATGAAGCCCGGACAGAGCGACGGGAACCTCAAGCCTGGACACAAGGCCTCCACGAGCGGGACCTCCGACGGCAAGGGTGTGTTAGTGTGTGTGTGAGCACGCGCGTGTGTGTGTGTGGGGTGTGTGTGTGTGGTGTGTGTGTGTGTGAGCACGTGCGTGTGTGTGTGTGGTGTGTGTGTGTGTGTGAGCACGTGCGTGTGTGTGTGTGGTGTGTGTGTGGGGTGTGTGTGTGTGGGGTGTGTGTGTGTGGTGTGTGTGTGTGTGAGCACGTGCGTGTGTGTGTGTGGTGTGTGTGTGGGGTGTGTGTGTGTGGTGTGTGTGTGTGTGAGTGAGTGTGTGTGTGGTGTGTGTGTGTGTGGTGTGTGTGTGTGGTGTGTGTGTGTGAGCACGTGTGTGTGTGTGAGCGCGTGTGTGTGTGGGCACGCGTGTGTGTGTGTGAGCACACGTGTGTGTGTGTGAGCACGTGTGTGTGTGTGTGTGAGCACGCGTGTGAGTGTGTGTGTGTGAGCACGCGTGTGAGTGTGTGTGTGTGAGCACGCGTGTGAGTGTGTGTGTGAGCACACGTGTGTGTGTGAGCACACGTGTGTGTGTGAGCACACGTGTGTGTGTGAGCACACGTGTGTGTGTGAGCACGCGTGTGTGTGAGCACGCGTGTGTGTGAGCACGCGTGTGTGAGTTTGAGCACGCGTGTGTGAGTGTGAGCACGCGTGTGTGAGTGTGAGCACGCGTGTGTGTGTGTGTGAGTGTGAGCACGCGTGTGTGTGTGTGAGCGCGCGTGTGTGTGAGCGCGCGTGTGTGTGCGAGTGTGTTAGCGCGCGTGTGTGTGCGAGTGTGTTAGCGCGCGTGTGTGTGTGAGTGTGAGCACGCGTGTGTGTGTGAGTGTGAGCACGCGTGTGTGAGAGCACGCGTGTGTGTGAGCACGCGTGTGTGTGAGCACGCGTGTGTGTGTGTGTGAGCACGCGTGTGTGTGTGTTAGCGCGCGTGTGTGTGTCAGCGCGCGTGTGTGTGTGTGTCAGCATGCGTGTGTGTGCGGGCGGTAGTGTAGCGGTTAGCGCGCTGCGCTACGAACCCGGCGACACGGGTTTGATTCCCGCTCACGGCCAACACCACTGACGATTATCTGAACCGGTCCTGGGCGTCCCCTAGGTCGACTCGGCCTCAAATGAGTACCTGGTGCGGTGTGTAAACATCGCCACTGGGGAGACAAAGGCGGCCGGGCATGATCCTGGCCACCCACCCCCTCGTGTGCCGTGCCGGCCTTCATAGGTGCTCGCTAACAGCACTTGCCCCATAAAGTTTCTTGAGGCTATACAGGGGTTCTTTGTCTTGGTGGGAGCATTTTGGTTGGGGTCAGCACGCCGCTCTACAAATCCCGGCGACCCGAGTTCGATTCCCACTCACACCCTCAGTCCCGCGAACACCAGGCCTCTCTCACCTACTCCCTCGCCACGTCTGTTCGCACTTCCGAATCGCACGGCTTGGCTATGTACGGCGCGAAAGAACTTCAGTGTGGAACGATATCACCCCTCTGCACATTCGCAGCATCACCTCAATCGCCTCCTTCAAGAGACACTTAAAAACTCACCTCTACAACCACGCGCTTTCGAGCGACTCTGAGCTTGGCTCCGCGCCTCTGAGTTGTGGCCACTACGTCTGCAAATTTGCGCGTGTTACAAATTTAACTATTATTATTAGAGTACAAACGTCCATACGTCCATGCCCTCTCTCCCTCCGTCTCCCACGCGCCCGCGCTGCCCCTCTGCCCCGTCTCCCGCCGCGTCTCGCGCAGGCAAGGACAAGAGGAAGGTGCCTGCGGAGGGCGCCGCCGTGCGCGTGAAAGCGCGTGCCACGCACGAGCTCTCCGTGGAGCAGCAGCTCTACTACAAGGAGATCACGGAGGCCTGCGTCGGCTCCTGCGAGTCCAAGCGAGCGGTGACACGCGCAGCCGGATATCCACACCGCCGGATATCCACACCACCAGATAGCCACACTACTGGATATCCACACCACCGGATATCCACACCACCGAATATCCACACCACCGGATATCCACACCACCAGATATCCACACCACCGGATAGCCACACCACCGGATATCCATACCGCCGGATATCCACACCGCCGGATATCCACACCACCGGATATCCACACCACCGGATAGCCACACCACCGGATATCCACACCGCCGGATAGCCACACCACCGGATATCCACACCACCGGATTGCCACACCACCGGATAGCCACACCGCCGGAGAGCCACACCACCGGATAGCCACACCACCGGATTGCCACACCACCGGATAGCCACACCACCGGATATCCACACCGCCGGATAGCCACACCATCGGATATCCACACCACCGGATATCCACACCACCGGATATCCACACCGCCAGATATCCACACCGCCGGATATCCACACCGCCGGATATCCACACCGCCGGATATCCACACCACCGGATATCCACACCACGGGATATCCACACCACGGGATATCCACACCACCGGATATCCACACCACCGGATATCCACACCGCCGGATATCCACACCGCCGGATTGCCACACCACCGGATAGCCACTCCACCAGATTGCCACACCACCGGATATCCACACCGCCGGATTGCCACACCACCGGATAGCCACTCCACCAGATTGCCACATAGCCGGATGATAGCCACGCAGCCGCATAGCCACATAGTTGGATAGTAGGAGAGCTTCACCATTCTTGCCCGATGAAGCTGATTGTAATTACCAGAGAAACGTCGTGCTACTCAAATTTTTTAATGCTGTTGATTCTCTCTTCAACACACCGGTGGGCTAAAGAAGTGAATTTGTCCTTTGAAAAAGGTGACACTTTTTTTACTGATTGGCCGTGTCGGGTGGTGGAGGGTTACAATCGATCATGAACCGTAACTTTGTGCTGTAAACCAAAAAACGACTCCGTGTCGATATTCTTTGGTTCTTTCGGTAAAGTCACGTAGATAGAAAATAAAAATAAAAACAAAACAAACAAAAAAATCCACAAATAAAAACAAAAAACCGACTACATAAGTTGCTGAGGAGATGGAATCTTCCTCAGTGCCATCGAAAAAGTAACTTGCAACACCACACCTATCTCCATCATTTGGGGAAAGAAGGGTGATCCAATCTCTGACACCCAGGAACAGATTTGCAGATTTGCTGAGCAATTCTGAGGTCTTGGGGGGGGGGAGGGGGAAATCCCTCAGCCTGGAAAACATCATGGGGTCAAGTGGGGATGACCCTGCTGAGGCTGGGGTGCCTCAAATATTGGAAGAAGTCTATTCTTTGGGTCTTTCGGTGACGTCACCTAGATAGGTTCAAAGAAAATAACAAAAACTACGACGTTTCGATCGCAACACAAGTGGTCGTCATCTTTGAACCTATCTGCGTGACTTTACCGAAAGACCCAAAGAATATTAATTCCTGCAGTCACGAAAGCTTTAAGTCAAGATTGGAAGAGGGAGTTACCGCCTGTGAGTGGCTGGCTGAGGTGCCATCTGTTGAGGAAGTACTGAAGGCGATCCAAAGTTGAGATCAGGAAAGGCACCAGGCAGGGATGATCTCCCAAGTGAAATGCTAAGGGAGGGTAGCGTTTATGCACAGACTGCCCTACATGACATCATAACAACAGTCTGGACCACTGGACGGGTTCCGCAGGATTGGAAGGATGCCCTGGTGGTCTCCCTCTTTAAGAAGGGGGACCGCACAGACTGCAACAACTACAGGGGCATCTCACTCCTCAGTGTGCCGGGAAAGGGCCTGGCAAGGATTATTCAACATCGCCTTGCTAGGCACGCTGAGGAGAGGCTTGCGGAGCCCCAATGCGGTTTCAGGAAAGGGCGGTCCTGCACAGATGCCATATTTTCTGTCAGTCTGCTACAGCAGAGGTGTAGGGAATTCCAACAAGACCTACATCTCTGTTTTGTTGACCTGGTCAAGGCCTATGATACCATCAGTAGACCTAGGCTCTGGGTTCTTCGTGCTTTCGGAGTCCCTGACTCTGCTCACAATCATTAAGGACCTTCATGATGGTGAGCGGGCCCGGACAAAACTACGTCACCGGGAGTCTGAGCCATTCCCTCTTCACCTTGGGGTGCGACAGGGATGTCCTCTGGCTCCCGCATTATTTAACATTTGTTTCGACCACGTAGTTAGTGAAGCCTTCCATGGCTGTACCGGAGGAATTTCCATCTGGTACAGATACAATGGGAGGCTGATCGATACCCGGGTGCAGTCAACAGACGGCTCCCTATTAGTCAACCATGTTATGTATGCCGATGATTTGGTTATTGCTGCTCACTCAGAGGAGGAGTTGGAGGCGCTGCTACTGAACCTGGAGCGTGCCACTAAGAGGTGGGGCCTTACCATTAGCCCCACCAAAACTAAGCACCTGCCTGGGTATTTTGTACCATCGGACACTCCACCCCCACCACTCCCAATTTATAATGGAGCAGTTGTGGAGAGAGTGGAGAGTTTCACACACCTGGGCAGTGTGCTCATGACTGGCTCCAGTTTAACAACAGAGGTCTCACTCCGAAACAGTCGAGAGGCATTATCTTTTCATCGGTTGCATAACGCTGTGTGGAAGCTACCTGGTCTGTCGCTCCACACGAAGCTTCAGGTCTTCTCGGCCACAGTCATTCCCTCCCTTCTTGACGCTTGCGAAACGTGGACCCCCCTAATGGAACATCTTCACCGGTTAGAAACATTTAGGCTGGCCTGCCTACAATCCATCCTGGGTTTAACCAGGCTGGATTGTGTGAGGAGCTCACAAATCCTTGAAAGATCTGGACAAAGTTCCATCGGTGACCTCCTCCGGCAGGCAAAGCTGCTTTGACTGGGTCATGTAGCCCGCATGCCCAGTTACCTCATGCCTAAACAGCTTTTGTTTGGCCGGATAGAGGGGGCTAAATTGGCGCTGCACGGGCTAGAGAAGAGATGGAGTGATGTGGTACAAGAGGACGTGGAGCTGAGTGGACTTGCCGATGACTGGTACCAGCGGTGTCAAGATCGGGCTCTGTAGAGAAAGCTCGTGAAGGACGCTACTGGGCAGTTGGAGGCAGTCGCCCTCCAACAACAACGGAGGGCGGAGGAGCGACGCTCACAACAACGAGCGGAGCGCCGGGTGGCTAAAGCACAGCAAGTTAGCACAGTAGGGGGCACAGGTGGTGCATCAGCCAGTCATCTCGGTCATCTCAGTCATCTCAGTCAGTCGACCCGTGGCACCTGGGTCTGCCCCGTGACGTCCTGCTAGCGGGCTTTCGACACTTCACGTGGCCTCAACGTGCACATAGCCTGGCACAGACGCCGTGGTGATGTCACCGCCCCTTAGTGGCGAATGGCGGTTGTTGTTCTTGTCATGTGTGCGTGCCTCAAATGAGTACCTGGTGCGGTGTGTAGTAAACATCGCCAATGGGGATACAAAGGCGTGGTGCTGGCCACCCACCCCCTCGTGTCCCGTGTCAGCCTTCATAGGTGCTTTGTAACAACACTGGTCCCAACATTCTGTTAAGGTTACACGGTGCATTTTTGTCTTTGTGCGTGTTACAGGAAGCACTGCAGAGCATCGCGAGCGACCCGGGGCTGTACCAGATGCTGCCACGTTTCAGCACCTTCATCTCCGAGGGAGTGAGTTCAATTCTAGATTTGAAGCTTTCGTGACTGCAAGGATTCATACTCTTAGGTTTTATCGGTAAAGTCACGTAGGTAAAAAAATAAAATTAAAAGTTAATAAAAGTAATAATGGAAATAAAATAAAAAATGACGACGTTTCGGAGGCAACACAAGTCTCCGTCATCAGGTGGGACCGTCACAGCTAATTTACTGTTTCAAGTGAGGACAAATTCCAAAAGACCAGCCCTTAAATACTTGATGCAGTAATTTTAGCTGTGACGGTCCCACCTGATGACGGAGACTTGTGTTGCCTCCGAAACGTCGTGATTTTTTATTTTATTTTATTTCCATTATTACTTTAATTAACTTTTAATTTTCTTTTTTTACCTACGTGACTTTACCGAAAAAACCTAAGAGTAGGAGTGAGTTCACTCGGCTTTGCCATGCAGTAGCCTCGGCTGCTCCGGGCCGGAACCCAGGATCACCATTGTCTCTGACACTGCCGTTGTGAACTACCCCCCCCCGGCACCTGCAGGTGCGCGTTAACGTCGCTCAGAACAACCTGGCTCTGCTCATCTACCTCATGAGGATGACCAAGGCACTGCTGGACAACCAGACGCTCTACCTGGAGAAATACGTGAGCTCGTGTGAACACCACCACCACCACCACCCAGCTCCCACACTGCTTCCTCAGTGGGAGATTGGAGAGACCGGTGCTGGCTATGGGAATGTGGAATCTCCACCGCTCGGTGGTTCTACGCCGTCCGCGAAGATGGGCGCAGGATGATGTTGCTTTGTGTGTCCGTGGCTCCGTGCATCAGGCGTGGTGCTGGCCACCCACCCCCTCGTCTGCCACAGTGTGCCGGTCTTCATTGGTGCTACTCGCCAACAGCACTTGCCCCAATTGTCTGTTGAGGCTATGAGGGGGATCTTTGTCTTTGCATACTTCAACAGCCTTTGAACAGCAACACGGGGGATCTTTGTGTTTGTATGTCTGTGCGTGTCTGTGCGTGTCTGTGCGTGTCTGTGCGTGTGTAGCAAAGTGTTTAGTGCGCTCCACTACGAACCCGGCAACCCAAGTTCGATTCCTACTCATGGCCGCCAATACCAGTGACGATTATCTGAACCGATCCTGGGTCTCCCCCTAGGTCGACTTGGCCTCAAATGAGTAGCTGTTGCGGTGTGTAAACATCGCCACTGGGGAGACAAAGGCGGCTGGACGTGGTTCTGGCCACCCACCCCCTCGTGTGCCGTGCCGGCCTTCGTAGGTGCTAGCTAACAGCACTTGCCCCAACAGTCTGGTACAGGCTACACGTGGGATCTTTTTTTTCTCAAATAATAGCCCAATCAAGTGGCTTATCTTGTGGAAATATATCGCAGCCAAATGCTCTGAACGCACGGTTTTGATTCTAAATGCAGAGATCAAAACCGGAGGACCCAAATACGCAGCATGCATCAGCGTCGGACTCTAACTCACGACCTCCTGCATACCAGGTGATCCAGTTAACATCTCACCACCGCGCCGCCCACTCTTTCGTCTTGATGTGTCCCCCGTCTCGTGCAGCTGCACGAGCTGATCCCCGCGGTGGTGACGTGCATCGTGAGCCGCCAGCTCTGCCTGCGCCCCGACGTGGACAACCACTGGGCCCTGCGCGACTTTGCCGCCCGCCTCATGGCGCAGATCTGCAAGAACTTCAGCTCCACGACAAACAACATCCAGTCCCGCTCGACCAAGACCTTCGTGAAGGTGCTCATCGCCTCCTTTGCTGTCTCCGTTGCGCTCCGTGGACCCGGCAGAGGCCTCACAAAGTCTCGAGGGTTTTAGGAGGGTCTCACACTCACTCACTCTTGCAGTACCGGGAGAGATCATACAAACTCCACTCACTCACTCTCACTCTGTAGGACAGGGGGAGATCACACAAACTCCACTCACTCTCACTCTGTAGGACAGGGGGAGATCATACAAACTCCACTCACTCACACACTCTGCAGAACAGGGGGAGATCATACAAACTCCACTCACTCACACACTCTGTAGGACAGGGGGAGATTATACAAACTCCACTCACTCTCACTCTGTAGGACAGGGGGAGATCATACAAACTCCACTCACTCACACACTCTGCAGAACAGGGGGAGATCATACAAACTCCACTCACTCACTCACTCTGTAGAACAGGGGGAGATCATACAAACTACACTCACTCTGTAGGACAGGGGGAGATCATACAAACTCCACTCACTCTGTAGAACAGGAGATCATACAAACTCCACTCACTCTGTAGAACAGGGGGAGATCATACACACTCCACTCACTCACTCTGTAGAACAGGGGGGGATCACACAAACTCCACTCACTCTGTAGAACAGGGGGAGATCATACAAACTCCACTCACTCTGTAGGACAGGGGGAGATCATACAAACTCCACTCACTCACACACTCTGCAGAACAGGGGGAGATCATACAAACTCCACTCACTCACACACTCTGTAGGACAGGGGGAGATTATACAAACTCCACTCACTCTCACTCTGTAGGACAGGGGGAGATCATACAAACTCCACTCACTCACACACTCTGCAGAACAGGGGGAGATCATACAAACTACACTCACTCATACCCTGCAGGACAGGGGGAGATCATACAAAATCCTCTCTCGCGAGGAACCCGGAAACCCGAGTTCGATTCTGAACTGGTCCTGGGCCTCCTCTTAGGTCGACTCAGCCTTAAATTAGTACCCGGTGCGGTGTGTAAACATCGACACTGGGGAGACAAAGGCGGCCGGGCGTGGTGCTGACCACCCACCCCCTCGTGTGCCGTGCCGGTCTTCATCGGTGCTCCTCGCCAACGGCACTTGCCCCCACAAGTATGTTAAGGCTACACGGGGGACCTTTGTTAAGTGAGTTAATTTATAAATGCGCAACTCTCATATCCAAGTGCACAGACTGCCTGTGCGTGCATTGCTTGTTGCTAGCGGCGGGGATACAAAGGTGCTCTGCCATCTTGCCGGCCACCCACCCACCCACCCCCTCGTGTGCCGTGCTTGCTAGCAGCACTTGCCCCAGCAGGCCGTCAGGGCTATCCGGGGGGGGGGATCTTTTGACTTTGTGGAACTTTGTGTCGCTCAGAGTCTGCACGACGACAAGACGCCGTGGACGACGCGCTACGGCTGCATCGCGGGCCTGGCCGAGCTCGGCTTCGACGTGAGCCCCTCCCCCCTCAGCCCCCCCCCCTCAACCCCCCCCCAACCCCCCCCTTTCCACCCCCCAACCCCCCCACATGCCGCCTCCACTCCCCCTCGTGACAGTCAGCGGCAGAGGTCGCAACCAGGTACCCGATACCCGGCTACCCGTACCTGGCTACCCGTACCCGGCCGGGTACAGGTACGGGTACCCGTTTGCGACCCTGGTGCGGCCGGGTACGGATAGGCCGTGAGTCACTGGTGAGTCACCGTTTGTCACTCATTTTCCAACGTCTTGTCTCCTCTCACAATTCAAGTTCCTAGAATCAACCCACCCGCGCCTGCAACATGGCTTCATCCCAGAGGTCGCAATCGGGTACCCGATACCCGTAGCCTACCCGTACCCGTCTGGGTACGGGTAGGGTACGGGTACGGCCGGTTACGTGTACGGGTACCCGTTTGCGACCCTGGTGCGGCCGGGTACGGGTACGGGTAGGCCGCGAGTCACTGGTGAGTAACTGTTTGTCACTCATTTCGGGTAGGGTACGGGCACTGGTAGGGAATCAAAACCCGTCTGCGACCTCTGGCCAGTGGCACTCCGGCTGGCCGTAGCGTCCAGAGGGAGGTCGTCGCACTGACGCCGTTTCTGATGCTGCCCCACCGATTGGCACGATTGGCTACGTACGGTGCGACAGATGTTCAGCATGCGTACACACACATACTACACTATACACTATTATATACTACACCACTATACACTACTACACACTATTATACACTATTATACACTACTATACACTATTATACACTACTATACACTACACATACTACTATACACTACTACACACACACATACAACTATACACTACTACACACATACATACAACTATACACTATTATACACTACTATACACTATTATACACTACACACTACTATACACTACTATACTTTACAATACACTATACTATACACTACTATACACTATTATACACTACACACTACTATACACTACTATACTTTACAATACACTATACTATACACTACTATACACTACACACTACTATACACTACTATACACTACACATTACTATACACTACTATACTATACAATGCACACTACTATACACTACTATACACTACTATACACTACACACTACTATACACTATACACTACTATACTATACAATGCACACTACTATACACTACTATACACTACACTACTATACACTACACACTACTATACACTACACTACTATACACTACTATACTATACACTACTATACACTACACACTACTATACACTACTATACACTACACTACTATACACTACTATACTATACACTACTATACACTATACACTACTATACACTACTATACTATACAATACACACTACTATACACTACTATACTATACACTACACTACTATACACTACACTACTATACACTACACTACTATACACTATACACTACTATACACTTCCCGCTCACGGCCAACGCCAGTGACGATTATTTGACCCGATCCTAGGCCTCGCCTAGGATCGGGTCAACAGTCTCACTTAAGTAGCTGGTGCGGTGTGTAGTGAACATCACCAATACACACTACACTACTATACACTACACTATACACTGCACTACTATACACTGCTATACACTACACACTACTATACACTACACTACTATACACTGCTATACACTACACACTACTATACACTACACTACTATACACTACACTACTATACACTACACACTACTATACACTATACACTACTATACACTACACTACTATACACTACACACTACACACTACACTATACACTACACTACTATACACTACACACTACTATCGTCTCAACAGCCTCACTTGAGTAGCTGGTGCGGTGTGTAGTGAACGTCGCCACTGGGGAGGGCAGCCGGGCGTGGTGCTGGTCTCCCACCGCCTCGTGCGCCGTGCCGGCCTCGCCGGCGCCGCTACTTGCTAACGGCACTTGCCCCAACGGCCTCTTTGTCCGTGCGCGCACGCAGGTGATCAAGACGCTCGTCATCCCGCGTCTCCCCGCCGAGGGTGACCGCATCCGGCAGGTGCTGGAGGGCCCGGTGATCAGCAACATCGACAAGATCGGGGCGCAGCACGTGCAGACGCTGCTGCTGGTCAGACGAGCGCGTGTGTGTGTGTGTGCGCGTGTGTGTGTGTGCGTGTGTGTGTGCGTGTGTGTGTGTGCGTGTGTGTGTGTGTGCGCGTGTGTGTGTGTGCACACACGCGGAGCGCCGGGTGGCTAAAGCACAGCAAGTTGGTACAGTAGGGGGCACAGGTGGTGCATCAGCCAGTCATCTCAATCATCTCGGTCAGTCGACCCGTGGCACCTGGGTCTGTCCCGTGACCTCCTGCCAGCGGGAGTTCGACACTTCACGTGGCCTCAAGGTGCACTTGGCCTGGCACAAGCGTCGTGGTGACGTCACCGCCACTTAGTGGCGAATGGCGGTTGTTGTTGTTGTGTGTGTGTGTGGCGGTGGTAGTGTGAGGGGCGGTATTTGTGGGGAGCGGTAGTGTAGCGGTTAGCGCTACGCTGCGCTACGAACCTGGCGATCCGGGTTCGATTCCCGCTCACGGCCACCACCGGTGACGATTATCTGAACCGGTCCTGGGCGTCCCCTAGGTCGACTTAGCCTGAAATGAGTACCTGGTGCGGTGAGTAAACATCGCCACTGGGGAGACAAAGGCGGTCGGGCGTGGTGCTGGCCACCCACCCCCTCGTGTACCGTGCCGGCCTTCATAGGTGCTCGCTAACAGCACTTGCCCCTATACAATTTTTATTGTTTTATATTTATATTATTTTATTTCTCTTCTACATTACTTTACCGAAAGAACCAAGAATATAATACCTATACAGTCTGTTAAGGCTATACGGGGGATCTTTGTTGTCAGGGGCGGTAGTGGATGATGATGGTGGTGTTGGTGGTGGTGTTGGTGCTACAGCGGGTGGTGTTGGTGCTACAGCGGTGTGGTGTTGGTGCTACAGCGGTGGTGACGCGGCTGCGCTTTATGATCCACAGAAGCACTGCGCGCCGGTGCTGGTCAAGCTGCGTCCGGGCCCCGACAGCGCCGAGGCCTACAAGGCGGACTATGGGCACCTGGGCCCCCTGCTGTGCACCCACGTCACCAAGGCTCGCGTGCAGGTCAGCTCCTCCTCCTCCTCAATCACCGCTCAGGGCCTGCAGCTCAACCGCTCCACGCTCACCTTCACTCACCCACAGGTGAGCAGCTTCAAACTCACCACCCTCACCTCAGTCCCCTCCATCGTGACCCCGACAACCGCTCCACGCTCACCTTCACTCACCCGCAGGTGAGCGGCTTCAGACTCACCACCATCACCTCAGTCCCCCCGTCGTGACCCCGACAACCGCTCCACGCTCACCTTCACTCACTCACAGGTGAGCGGCTTCAGACTCACCACCCTCACCTCAGTCCCCTCCATCGTGACCCCAACAACCGCTCCACGCTCACCTTCACTCACCCACAGGTGAGCAGCTTCAAACTCACCACCGTCACCTCAGTCCCCCCGTCGTGACCCCAACAACCGCTCCGCGCTCACCTTCACTCACCAGGAAGGTGAGCGGCTTCAAACTCACCACCTCAGTCCCCACGTCGTAACCCCAACAACCGCTCCACGCTCACCTTTACTCACCGCCATCACGTGAACAGCGCTGTACTCACCTGAAGCCCGCCACCACTTCACTCGCCTGCAAGTTGTGACGCTGTATGGACGACGACGACGACGACGATGGGTAGTTTGATGACGATGACGATGTGTTGATGACGTTGCTGACGTTGCTGCTGTGCCCACCCCCCAGGTGCGTGGTGCCATCGGTGCCCCTCACTCTCTCGCGAGCCCCCAGACGGCGCTGCCCCCCCGCTCCTCCACCATCATCAAGGTGCCAGGCTCAGGGGGGGGGCTCTATTCCACGTCCCTGCAGGGGGGCAGCGACGCGTCTGGGCTGCCCCCCAAGTTCATCGTCGTGTCGGCCCCCACCGGCCCCACACAGGTGATCACACACACAGACACACACAGACACACAGACACACACAGACACGTGTACACAGAGACACACACAGACACACACAGAGACACACAGAGACACACAGAGACACACGTGCACACACAGACACACGTGTACACACGTGTACACACAGACACGTGTGCACACAGACACACACAGACACACGTACACACACAGACACACACAGAGACACGTGTGCACACAGACACACGTGTGCACACAGACACACACAGACACACGTGTACACACAGACACAAACAGACACGTGTGCACACAGACACGTGTGCACACAGAGACACGTGTGCACACAGACAACAAAGGCAAAATCCCCTTTATAGCCTTAACAGACTGTAGGGGCAAGTGCTTTTAGCGAGTAGCACCTATGAAGGCCGGCACGGCACACAAGGGGTTGGGTGGCCAGAACCACGCCCAACCGCCTTTGTCTCCCCAGTGCTCGTGTTTACACACCACCGCACCAGATGTACTCATTTGAAGCTGAGTCAACCTAGGGGAGGACCCAGGACCAAGCGAGACTCTCACGCGTACGCACACAAAGACAAAGATCCCCCGTGATAGCCTTAAGAGACTGTTGGGGCAAGTGCTGTTAGCACACGTGCACACAAACACACTCGATAATGTTGATGTTGCTGCTGCTGTTGGCCATGGATAAATTAGGACGATGATGATAATCTATTGAAGATGATAGAATAATGACGATGACGTTGATGATGTTGCTACGCGCACGAAAAAACAAAGGCAAGGATCTCCCGTATAGCCTTAATCGACTGTTGGGGCAAGTGCTGTTAGCGAGCACCCACGCAGACAAACGGCTTCTCCCCACGCAGATCCTGCCGATGTCCTCCTCCACCTCGTCGCCCTCCACCTCGTCACCCGCCACCGCCTCCTCGCTGTCCTCGTCCCTGTCGGCCACGATGGCGACGGCCGGCGGCACGCCCACCGTGGTGAAGCTGCTCGCGCCCAGCCAGAAGCTGGCGCCGGGCATCACCGTCTCGGTGATGCCCTCCTCCTCCTCGTCCTCCTCGTCGCCCTCCTCCTCGTCGCTCGACGTGACCGGCAAGCCGGTGACGCCGGCGCCGGCGGGGGCGTCGTCCTCGCTGGGCGTCGCGGCGAGGGGCGGTGCCGGCAGCGTGCCGCAGCTCATCGCCGTCAAGCAGGAGGGCGTCGACGGCCAGCCCATGGTGGTGCTGCGCAAGCCGGGTGCGCCGGGACCGGCAGCAGGAGCAGCAGCAGGAGGAGCCACGAGCAACGCCGTGACGGTGACGGTGGCGGGGGTGACGGCCGCTGCCGGCGGTGGCGTTGGCGGTGCCGTTGGCGGTGTCGGCACGGCTTTGGGGACGGCGCCTGGTGGGACGGGCTCAGCGGTGCCCAAATCGGAGCCCGGGACCACGGGCTCGGCTTAGCCCGGTACCACTGCCGTGGTGGTGGTGGTGGTGGCAGGGGAGTCGAGATGATAGTGATGGTGTCTGGATCGTAGTAGTGTTGAATTCTCTAAAGCAGTGGATTTACACCCACCCCCACCCACCCCCAGTCCATAGCTACGCGCACTGCCGGATAGCGTCCCACCCCCCCCCCCGCCTCCCCTCCCACAAGGGTTATACTGCTGCTTCACACGGCCGCACGTATGCTTGTGTGTATCTTGAAATCGTACATGTTCGTGTTTGGACGTTGACATTATTTAGCGCCGAGCGTAGCCAACGGCGCTTAACGGAGGTGCGGGAAAGTGGCCAGCGGCCAGTCGCATGCAACACTCTTCCATTAACGTCGACGATGAATTGACCGTGGCTTTAGCGAGAATCCTATGGAGTTGGTGCTTTCGCTAAAATCAAATCTATTTTACTGTTTTTACTTCACCAGGCAAGGCCCGCTAGCGCTTTCTCAGCAGCAACCCGGCCGCAAATGATAGCTCAGCCAAGTGGCTTATCGCGTGGAAATTTCAGGCAGTCTAATACTCTGAACGCGGGATGTTGATTCTAAATGTGGAGGGGAAAAGCGGAGGATCCGGAGAAAGATCTGCGTGACGGGGAGAGGGAGAGAGACGCAAACTCCAAATATACAGCAGCAGGCGTCGTCAGGGTTGGGATCGAACCCACGACCTCCTGCATACCGGGCGAGGTAGTTAACATCTAGCCACCGTGATGATGATGAGAGACGCAAACTCCAAATATACAGCAGCAGCAGGCGTCAGGGTTGGGATCGAACCCACGACCTCCTGCACACCAGGCGAGGTAGTCAACATCTCCTAGCCACTGTGATGATGATGAGAGAGAGACGCAAACTCCAAATATACAGCAGCAGGCGTCGTCAAGGTTGGGATCGAACCCACGACCTCCTGCACACCAGGCGAGGTAGTTAACATCTCCTAGCCACCGTGGTGCCCTTGTTGAACAATTAATTGCGTCACATGTGGAGCTGTGTGTGTTTCATTGTTGGGGGGGTGGAGGGAGGTTGTTAAATGTTCCAAGGATAAATCACAGGCATAGTGGGTGCGGAACGGAGTGCATTCTGGGGCACGTCAACGGGGGAGATGGAGCGATGGAATCGGCACGTGGATTGGTGGCCCGGTGGGGAGGCCTTCATCCAGCGGTGAATTGATCACGACTGAGGATCACGGCAATGACGGCAAACATGTTGTACGTACGTTGACGTTCTTTCGCATCGGAGGTTGTGGGGGAAGGACAACAGAGGATGACATTTTGACACGTGTGGCGACGAGAGGTTGTTTTATATTCTTGGTTCTTTTGGTAAAGTCACGTAGAAGGGAAAGAACCAAGAATAGGAATCCCTGCAGTCGCCAAAGCTTTAAATCGAAAGAGGTTGTTTGTTTCAAAAGTGCAAATTTGTGGAGAATGATTTTAAACGATTGTGGAGTTTTAGGAGCGGTGGTTTAGGATCACGGGAAATGACGCGCGCGTCCCGGGAGCCCGGAGGAATCCCTCCGCGCTGTATACGAGTGGGTGACGTTGAAAAGCGCCACACGGATGGATACAAGAATCCAAAATCTGTTTCCGCAGATTGCTGAGCACCCTTCTGAGTCACGGATTGTTTTTAAGGCGCAAAAAAAAGTTATTTCCAGAAGCAAGAATCCTCTGTGGAGTAGTCAGTGATAGTGATGATTTACGAGCCTTGGTCGATGCACTGCTAGATGAAGGCAGCGGTAGCCATGCTTCACCGCGCTGGTCAGTGCTGGCAGGAGAATGGTGAGAGGTGGGTTCCCAGGATCGGTTCGGGTTTCTTCGCTCACCGTTGATGTTAGCCAGAATCACTATCATCATTTCGCTTGGGAGATCATCTCTGCCCGGTGCCTTTCCTGGTCTCAGACTCAGGATCGCCTTCAGTACTTCCTCAACAGATGGCACCTCAGCCAGCCACTCACAGGGGGTGACCTCTTCCAATATTTGAGGCACCGCAGCCTCAGCAGGGTTATATCCCCACTTTGTGCCATGATGTTTTCCTGGCTGAGGGATTTCCCCTCCCCCAGGACCTCACAGAAATGCTCAGCAAATCTGCAAACCTGTTCCTGGGGGTCGGAGATTGGATCACCGTTTTTTCCCCTACTGATGGTAATAGGTGTGGCGCTGCAGGTTACTTTTTGCGGGCACGGATGGCCGGGATTGAGTTCAAAGTCAGCGGGTTCAGAGCGCGAGGCGCTAACCACTGCGCCACCGCTCTGTGTCTCGCGCGTAACCGACACGTGACGATCATGTGATGTTTTATTAAAGTTGTTTCTTTACACGCGCGGTGACGTTTCCGTTTGTAAGTCGGAATCGATTGTTTGTGATTGGTCGAAATGCAGGCGGTCTCTGGTTTACTGCGGTCCACATTCACAGCGTTTATGTAACGCCATCGTGGATCCATTTACGACGCAGAAACTTGATTTTACGACGCATCTTCCGACGTGTCTCTGATGTGACTTTGGTGTTGAGCTTTTGTTATTCTCGAGTGTTTGTGTGGATGTTTACCTAATAAATCCTGTTAAATACGGCCAATGCAAGGGAAAAACACACATCAAGCAAGTGATGTTTTTACTGTCTATAGGAAAAAATAGGGGTCCGGTTTTATGACGATCCGATTTACGACAACGGCTTTTCCATGAACGAATTGTAACGTAACAGCGGGGGCCGCCTGTATTATGCAACTGGTGCATGCTGATGAAGTTGGTGGTGATGGGGGTGAAGGTGGTGGTGATGGGATGATAAAGATGTGGATTCGTGAAGCCTTCGATAGCTGCACCAGAGGAATTTCCATTTGGTACAGATACAATTGGAGGCTGATTGATGCCCGGGTGCGGTCAAGGGATGGCTCCCTATTGGTCAACCACGTTATGTATGCCGATGATTGGGTGATAGCTGCTCATTCAGAGGAGGAGTTGGAGGCGCTGTTGCTGAACCTGGAGCGTGCCACTAAGAGGTGGGGCCTGACCATCAGCCCCACCAAAACTAAGCACCTGCCTGGGTATTTTGTACCATCGGACACTCCACCCCCACAACTCCCAATCGGTGATGGGGCAGTTGTGGAGAGAGTGGAGAGTTTCCCATACCTGGGCAGTGTGCTCATGACGGGCTCCGGTTTGACAGCAGAGGTCTCACTCCGAATCAGTCGAGCGGCAATATATTTTCATCGGTTGCGTAACGCTGTGTGGAAGCTACCAGGTCTGTCGCTCCGCACGAAGCTTCAAGTCTTCTCAGCCACAGTCATGCCATCCCTTCTCTACGCTTGCGAAACGTGGACCCCCCGAATGGAACATCTTCGGCGGTTAGAAACATTTAGGCTGGTCTGCCTACGATCCATCCTGGGTTTAACCTGGCTGGAGTGTGTTAGGAGCCCACACATTTTATTTCTGTGAGCGAGGAATGCCGATGAAGGGCCGATGCAGACCTCGAGGGGTGGTGTGGCCAGAACCAAGTGGCAGAGGTCGCAAACGGGTTTTGATTCCTCATCCGTACCCGGCCGCACCAGGGTCGCAAACAGGTACCCGTACCCTACCCGTACCCGGCTGAGTACGGGTAGGGTACGGGTATCGGGTACCTGATTGCGACCTCTGGGATGAAAGCCATGTTGCAGGCGCGGTTGGGTTGATTCTAGGAACTTGAATTGTGAGAAGAGACAAGACGTTGGGAAATGAGTGACAGTTACCCACCAGTGACTCACGGCCTACCCGTACCCGGCCGCACCAGGGTCGCAAACGGGTACCCGTACCCGGCTGGGTACGGGTAGCCGGGTATCGGGTAGGGTACGGGTATCGGGTACCCGGTTGCGACCTCTGCCAAGTGGTAACTCAGCATCGGGACTCAGAGGCAAGTGAAAACACAACTTTTGTGTTCGATTCGTATCACTTTATTTTATGTTTTATTCACCATACAATATGTATTACATTGTTAAACATGCACGTGTACAATATTTATTCTTATGAGTCTAACAAGGCTTCCATTTTCTGTGGGAACGCAACACATTTCATCACGCTGACCATATGGGCATTTAATAATAATGCATTTATTTTATATAGCGCTTTCCTACTACCCAAATCACTGACCAGTGAAACGTATTAAATCATATATACTGGAAACAATTACGTTCATTGTGTTCCTACTTACGAACGGGTCTCGGGAACAAATTATGTTCATAAGTCGAGGACTCCCTGCACATTTAACTTGGGTCCGGAGGGGTGGGGGTCTGGATGGGTGGGGGTCTGGATGGGTGGGGGTCTGGATGGGTGGGGGCACGGATGGGTGGGGGTCCGGATGGGTGGGGGTCCGGTGGGGTGGGGGTCCGGAGGGGTGGGGGTCCGGAGGGGTGGGGTCCGGATGGGTGGGGGTCCGGATGGGTGGGGGTCTGGATGGGTGGGGGCACGGATGGGTGGGGGTCCGGATGGGTGGGGGTCCGGATGGGTGGGGGTCCGGATGGGTGGGGGTCCGGATGGGTGGGGGTCTGGATGGGTGGGGGCACGGATGAATGGGTGGGGGGGTCTGGACAAGTGGGGGCCTCCAGCTGTTGCCTGGAAGTGGATGATGGTCGAATTAATGATGATAGCAAGCAGCTGCTTATGTGCATTGGAGGAATGTTCTGGATGGCCGCGGGTGCAGCTGGTAGTGGGTGGGATGAGGAAGCGGTGTGTTTGCTACCGCGTGGCCGTGCGTCGTCAAACTCAGCACGGCCTCCACAACAACTGCAGAGACGTTTTAAAGAGTTTGCGCAGAAAGTGCCACGTTCTTTTGCGTCTGAATTTCGGTTGGGATCCTCTTCCTTTGAGAATCATCGTGACATCCTATCAAGGCGTCAGCAACCGGTTCCTCTTTCGGCCCGCAAGGGTCATCGGTGTCTGCTGCTGCTACTGCTGATACCCCGGTCATCTACAGGTGTTGGAGAGCATCTTTTGCGGGGAGTCACTCATCTGGGTCCCAACTGGAAAAAAAAGAACACTTCGTAAAATAACGAAATTAACAGAGAGGCTGTTGTACCATAACAGAGGTGGTTTGGGTTAGATCGCGTGAATGTGTCGTAAAACCCGCCACCACCCAACACAGCCAATTATTAGGGTTTCCATGTCAACAAAACATGGCAATTAGTTACTGGTTCAACACACCGATGTGTTGGAGAGTAAACCCACCACATTTACAATTCCGCTACCAAGATGTTTCACTGATGATAGTGGTGGTTGAATCGTAACAAATTTAATGGGCATTTAAATACAGTACATTATTGTGTTCTTCCAAACCGTTCAATTTCAGAAAATAATTGTGTTTCTCAGCAGAGGACTTCCTATTGTACATTTGTAGTGTCGGTGTGTGCGTCTCTTCTGCTCGGGGCTTGTGTGTCACACACGCACTCAGTCGGAGACGAGCTGGTCGCAGGAGGCACCGTCCTCTTGTTGTTGTTGTTGTTCTTGTTGTTGTTGTTGAGTCCACGCCACCACTCGTGCCCCCTCTCCCTCACGACCCCGCAATGATCTGGCGAAGGCCGAAACTACCACCACAGATATCACTAATACTCATCACCACCACTATCAGCACCACCACAACCACTATCATCACCACGATCACCACTATCACAACCACCATCACCACCGCTAACATCACCAACATCATCACTACTATCATCACCACCGCTATCACTACCACCACTAAATCATAACCACCACTGTGACCACTACCACTATTATCACAACCACTACCACCACCACGATCACCACCACCACTATCATCACCACCACCACGATCACCACCACCACCACTACGATCACCACCACCACGATCACCACCACGACCACCATCACCACCACCACCACGATCACCACCACCACCTCGCAAAGTCACCGCGTCACATGGCAATATCCCCCTACTGTACTCGCCTTACTTTGTGCAGCTCGTGTACCGTTGGTAGCGCAACCATCATTAAAAGACAAAAAGTAATATATAACAATACTTTTGTATAAACACAATAAGTAATATATAACAATACTTTTGTATAAACACAATAAGTAACATATAACAATACTTTTGTATAAACACAATAAGTAATATATAACAATACTTTTGTATAAACACAATAAGTAATATATAACAATACTTTTGTATAAACACAATAAGTAATATTTAACAATACTTTTGTATAAACACAATAAGTAATATATAACAATACTTTTGTATAAACACAATAAGTAATATATAACAATACTTTTGTATAAACACAATAAGTAACATATAACAATACTTTTGTATAAACACAATAAGTAATATATAACAATACTTTTGTATAAACACAATAAGTAATATATAACAATACTTTTGTATAAACACAATAAGTAATATTTAACAATACTTTTGTATAAACACAATAAGTAATATATAACAATACTTTTGTATAAACACAATACGTAATATATAACAATACTTTTGTATAAACACAATAAGTAATATATAACAATACTTTTATATAAACACGCTTTAATGAAATGTACCGTACTAAATTTCGATTTAAAGCTTTCGTGACTGCAGGGATTCATCTTCTTGGTTCTTTCGGTAAAGTCACGTAGAATGGAAATAATAAAATAATAAAAATAAAACATTATATTATTATGTTTTAGAAGAAGATTTATTCAATTTAATCTTTTATCTTTAGACGTGACTTAACCGAAAGAACCAAATAAGTATTCTTAAACTCAAACTTATTCACTTTCCTCTTAACCGCGTGAACGTTTTTGTTCACTCCGTGCCCCCCGGGGCCTGCGTTCAGCGTGGATGACGTCACTCCTTAGTGGTCACGTGCCGAGATACTCCTGGCTATTACGTCACTCCTTCTAGTGACGTCACGCGGCACGTGATCGCTTTCGTGGAGCTTGCGCGTCTCACTCCGTGCTGCGACCGCGACTCGCTCTGAAGGTAAATTTAATTATTAAATTTAACTATTTAGGTAAACTATCATATTAAATGTCGATTTTGAAAGCTTTCGTGACTGCAGGGATTCATATTCTTGGTTCTTTCGGTGAAGTCACGTAGAAGGGAAATAATAAAATAATGAAAATAAAACATAAAATTCTAAGATAGTTTAGTTAAATAGTTTAATTTAATAATTTAATTTACCTTTTTTAAAAGTTTAATATGATATTCTTGGTTCTTTCGGTAAAGTCACGTAGAAAGGAAATAATAAAATAATAAAAATAAAACAATGCAATTCTCAGATAGTTTAGTTAAATAGTTTAATTTAATAATTTAATTTACGTTTTTTTTTAGTTTAATATGATATTCTTGGTTCTTTCGGTCACACATCGTCACAAATGTCTGACCCCCCCCCCCCCCAGGTGCGTGACGTCATTTATGGACGGCCCCTTTACACAACAGTGCTGTAGAGAATTCTTTATACTGGTAGGAACCTCCTGGTTACACCAGCCCACAGGGGATTATTGTGTCCGTCCGTCATGCAGGGAGGGGCTGGGTGGGGAGGTAGGGGCTGGGTGGGGAGGGGCTGGGTGGGGAGGGTGGGGCTGGGTGGGGGGTGGGGAGGGGCTGGTCACCCCGTGGTGCCCTTATAAAACTCAACGTTTAACCTACTCACGCCGGCTTGTGCCCGCCCTCACAGTCGGCCATATTTGCGGAATACACCACGCCGCCGTTGACCCTGCAGGCCATTGACCGAGCAACCCAACGTTCCTACCAGCTCCCTCCGCAGGACAATGTGTTTTGTTTGTATGACGTCTCTCGTTTTTGGTCACGTGCCAGGAGATTCCCGCATTCGCTGTTGCGTCACTCATCCCGGTGACGTCACGCGGCACCTCGTGGAGCCATGCCTGCCTCCACTGGGCTCTTCCACAGTTTCTGCAGAGCCATGAAACTTAAAAGGGTGAGCTCAACTATGAAACTTAACTACGTAAACTATTTGTTTATGTTTACCAGGGAAGACCTCACTGAGCCTGTGGAACTCTTTGTCAAAAGCAACTTCACCATTTCGATTTAAAGCTTTCGTGACTGCAGGGATTCATCTTGGTTCTTTCGGTAAAGTCACGTAGAAGGGAAGTAATAAAATAATAAAAATAAAACATAATAAAATAATTCTCACGACGTTTCGGCCACAACGCAAGCAGCCGTCCTCAGGTGAAGACCAGGTCTGTCGATCAGACAGAGTCTGAATGACACGTCCTAGGCTTGGAGCGTCTATTTAAGCTGGGAGGCGCTCTTCCTCCTCCCTCCCAGCTTAAATAGACGCTCCAAGCCTAGGGGACGTGTCATTCAGACTCTGTCTTATCGACAGACCTGTTCTTCACCTGAGGACGGCTGCTTGCGTTGTGGCCGAAACGTCGTGAGAATTATTTTATTATGTTTTATTTTTATTATTTTATTATTTCCCTTCTACGTGACTTTACCGAAAGAACCAAGAAGATGATCTTCCATGGTAAACTGGACTTCCATGGTAAACTAGATGTCCATGGTGAACTTGACTACCATGGTGAACTGGACTTCCATGGCAAACTGGAATTCCATGGTAAACTGGATTTCCATGGTAAACTGAATTGCCACAGTGGACTTGAATACCATGCCATGGTAAACTAGACTTCCATGGTAAACTGGATTTTCAAGGTAAACTGAACTTCCATGGTGAACTGGACTTCCATGGTCAACTCGATTTCCATGGTGAACTGGAATTCCATGGTAGACTTAATTTACATAGTGAACTTGACTACCATGGTGAACTGGACTGCTATGGTAAACTAGACTTCCATGGTAAATTTAACTTTCATCCTAAACTGGACTTCCATGGTAAACTGGATTCCTTGGTGGACTGGACTGCCATGGTAAACTAGACTTCCATGGTAAACTTAACTTTCATCCTAAACTGGACTTCCATGGTAAACTGGATTCCTTGGTGAACTGGACTTCCATGGTGAACTGGATTTTCATGGTAACTGGATTTCCATGGTAAACTGAATTTCCATAGTAAACTTGACTACCATGGTAAACTCAACTTCCATCCTAAACTGGGTTTCCATGGTAAAATAGACTT